AGATAGTTTCGTCTGTTTCACAGCACTTCGAAACAGGCCAGAATTTTTAGACGTGTACACGTGCTTAGTGCGTACCGAACGACGGCTGAATGTCGACTGATGTCAAGGCGACCCTAGAGCAAGTATATACCTGCCCTGTCCGGAATTTCATTTTAGGACTATCCGTAAACAAGATCTAAACGTGTATAGACGAATATATATAACTCAAAACTTCGATTTTTGACCAGCTTTTTAGGATTCTGCCGCACTGTGCGTCGCCCTAGTGTACGAATCTCATCTGATAGTACAATTGCCTCTTGAGAGTTTTATCTCGTGTCTTTGACCTGCACACCGCCTTTCGTGTTGAACAAACTCAATCACTCCGGCAAGTGGCTCAGAAATTACTCTTTACACTTACGCCAAGATTCAACTAAGTCTGTACATCCGGGTGAGGAAAGTTCATCTCCTCATTTCTTTTACGGCACGGATGTAAACCTAAATTGTCCGAACATGGCGTTTACTCAAATAGAGAGGAGTTTCCAGTTACCGTTTACCGTCGCTCCGCCATTTCCACAATTTCCCGCTGGAAAGTCGAAGTTGTGTAAGTCCCTGGCTGTTATCTTAATAAGACAGCAGCACCCAGCATTGCAGATGCAGCTTAGCGTTTCGAACATTTGTCTTGTTGTAATGCCGTTGAGTTGAATCTAGAGCAACATATTTCTATGAAGAATCCATAATAGATTTCTTACTGCATCTGTATGTATTTTGGACCGGTTTTTTTAATGTGTCGTCATAGATAGTTGCCGATCTTGTGGCCCAGGGTCTGTGAGTTTGTCAGCTGTCGCAGCACAGAAACTAGAAAATATACTAAGTGACATATAAATCCGAACACCTAGTTTAAATGGTTTTATTTTAATAAAAGTTGGTGAATGTATTTTATCTTACTGTAAATAACAAGTGAAAAAATTTTCAGCCTTATCAGTTGGACATTGCGGTTTTTATACTGCTTATTTTTAATTCACTAACGCTCTAAAAATGAATATTTCAGCCGCAGTAAAGAATCAACGTTGGCGGATTTTGGTTCTTGACATCCTTTACGATCGGTTATGATGCCTAGAGTACGGAGACCTCTACGATTTCATCAACTTAGTGAGTTTGATAGGGGCCGTATAATGGGACTTCGGGAAGCTGGACTTTCTTTTCGGGCAATTGCAGTTAGAGTGCAAAGAAGTGTAGACACTGTGGTTAGGTGTTGTCAGGCATGGCTTCGAGAAGGCCGTACGCAAAGAGCAAGGGGCACTGGACGCCGCCGTAGAACAACAGACCGTGAAGATCGCCGCCTAAGATTATTGGCCTTAAGGAACCGTTTCTCCACTACCAGGTCCATTGCAAATGAATGGTTTGCAGAACATGGAAGACCTATTGGCATGCGAAGTGTTTACCGACGAATGAGAAGTTTTGGCTTGTTTTCATGCCGGCCACACTGGGTCCTCCCTTTAACTCGAGAGCACCGGCATAATCGCTTTGAGTGGTGTAGACAACGGTCACTCTGGGATGAGGAATGGAACAGTATTGTCTTTAGTGACGAGTCTCGATTTTGTTTAGGCATGCACGATGGTCGTGCCAGGGTTAGAAGGCGACGTGGTGGAAGGAGGAATCCACAGTTTTTTGTTGAAAGACATGTTCATCACACTGTTGGAGTTATGGTTTGGGTTGCTATAGCTTATGGTTCCAGGTTACCTTTAATCTTCATCAGAGGTAACATGAACGCGCAGCGTTATATCCACGAAGTTCTAGAATCCCATCTTTTACCCTATCTTGACACCCTGGCAGATCCAACTTTCCAACAAGATAATGCCCGACCACATGTTGCAAGAGTCACAATACACTTCTTTCAACATAATGATGACACACTGTTACCATGGCCACCAAGATCTCCCGACTTATCCCCAATTGAGCACGTGTGGGATATGATGGGTAGCAGATTGCTCATTTTGCAACGTCCTCCTCAGACTCTAGAAGCACTTCGAGAGGAGTTGGTGGTTGCCTGGAATGAGATACCACAGGAGGACGTTGACCACCTGATCAGAAGCATGCCTAGGCGCGTTGGAGAATGCGTAGCACATCAGGGTGCATCCACACATTATTAAAGGTCAAAGGGCTTTAAATCAGTGGAATCATTTTGAAATTTTTATCATTTACTTAATATGCTTCATTAAGTACTTATACAAAATTTTATTAAAATAAAACCATTTAAACTGGGTGTTCGAATTTATATGTCACTTAGTATATAAATAAAACGCTATAAGTAAAATCAAATTTAGGCCCTGCCCTAGTTCAATAAAGCGAAGATCAGGGGCGATTAAGAGCGCCAGTAACTTAAGACAGACTAAGCCACAAATCTCGGAGATGTTAGTAGGAACTTGTTTTGCTTGACCACCCACACTCTCCGCTTTATTGAGCTAGTGCCTAAATTCATTTATTAATTCTTTAATTAATTAAAAAAAAAGAAAGAGGAATCACACCACCACTTCCTCTTGTTTATAAAAATATCGTGGCAAATTTCGTGACGAACAACGTGGGGCCAAACACTTTAGACATACAAATGAGCCAAATAATTTATTAAATCTTATGATCAAACAAGGTGATAATGCACTACCTTGAAAAAGTTTATGCCTCCGTTGCCGGGTGCCCAAATCAACAAAGAGTAAGTCCGAAACTACACTCATGCGCAGAACGCGCGCTAACTCTATCTCTCTTAATCCCTTACAGAGGATCTATAAGAGAATTTATCAATTGTCATCGGTCCTTGATACGTGTTGTCACGTGCAAAAATCTCGTAACCTTCCTTTTCACTATTTTGACCACTTATGAGTAATTTAAATTTCTCTTTATTGATTATAGAGTGCCCATTACTAGGCCAAACAAACCCTTTTTAATGATTTTCTTCTGTCAAATTTCATAGTTTATTGATTGTAGAATTTCACACGTATTATATCTGTCAGTCTCAGCCACTCAGCATTGTATTGAAATCTTTCTTCTATCTAAGAAATTTCCTCATAAAATATTGTTGGTCCCTCGTAGTCAGATTTGTTTCTGCTTACAGTTCGTCCATAGGCAACCAGCACGCCATCTTGTGATTTTTACACGTACTAGCCGTATATGAATGTTTACCTTCTGTTAAAATTTACCTTACTATCACGATACCTTTTTTACCGGCTTTCACCTGTTCCTTCTGATGTTCTGTCGAATGTGCCTTCTTCAGGGCCACTTATTGAACCTTCTTTTACTGGGTTGCGTGCGCAGTCGGTCCAGCGCCATTTTTTTCCGCTGTCATTTTGGTTGTGTGTGGGCGTTTTTTTTTTGTTTACTTCCAGATTTTGGGATATTAACGCCCCAAGCACCAGTTTAACGTTTTCCCAGTGAAAAGATCTATAGCCGAACCAAACAACTGTTTTTCAGTTACATTACGAGCTGACCGTACTTCACTAACCGTTTCTAAAAAGTTATGGACAGAAAGTTGTTTTATATCGCCGGAAAATTTCAAGTTCAATTTTTATGTGTTTTGAGACATTGGTGGAACAGTTTCGACAGTGGAAAGTCAGGATGAAAAATGATGCACGGATGAAATATGGATAGGAGTGCTCTGGCAAGCCAAATTTTCATCAAAATTTTGAAAAAGGGTATTTAATTGAGGATCTGGTCTAGATGCCGTCTCTAAAGAACCTAATGCTGCCAAAACGTAACATTAACAGTTCAGTTCTTTGAGTTTCATCCTCTACGCTAAGGATTGAATCACGGATTCGTTTAACAAGGTTGAGGATAGTATCATTTGCCTCATGCAAAAGTAACCGAATCTGCACCTTCTCATTGTCAAAATTAAAGTTATATGGTGAAATTTAAAAGTTCCAGCTTTTCCAACTTTAATAGAGAGCGTAAAGTACTTCTCAATTTGTCAACTGTGTGACTTTCGTCAACAGCAACAGCACGGACTGAAAGCTCATTAAGTAACATCTCTTTCATAATATGATTAACTTCCATTTTAAAATCCATCTTGCCAACAAATAAACTAATCTTAGAACAACAAGAGAAATGCAATAATCAATAATATAACAATATCAAGTAATACAATCAACAATAAGGTAATAAAGCCTGTCCAAAAGTTTCAATAAATTAAAGAAATTCAAAAGTCTGTTCAAAAGATTCATGAAATTATTTGGCTCTGTGTGCTTGTATATCAAAAATGATAGGCCCTAACCGTTGGGCGCCACGAAATTTGCCACTCCCTTTTTTATAAATATGAGGAAATGGTGGTGTGATTCCTCTTTAATTTTTTTGTTTAAATGTATTAATAAATTAGTAAATTACTATAAATGAAATCTGGGGGGTAAGAGCGCCAGTGACTCAAGACGGATTAACCCTTTCGTCCCTGAATTCAAATAGCTCAGTCCGAATAATAAATAGTGTAAAGTATTATTGTTAGGATGTCTTACAATGAGTTTTTAGTAATATATATTTTTTTCAATCGTCAAGTAATGGTGGAGAGGGTGGTTCATATATGTATCAGCAGGCATTTATGGTGGTACACATGCGTACCAACAGGTATGATCGGAAAATTCATAAAAACTGAAAAAAAAAATTGTATAATATTTATTTAGAAAAAAAAATACAAAAACAGCTTTGCAAAGAAGAAAATGAACCTGAATAACTATATGGTACGATACAACATAAAACAGAACTTGCACAATGGAATATTGCACTCCTGGCAAAGAGTTTTTGTTCTTGTTTGTTTTTCTCTTCAGAACATCTAGTACATCTTCTTCTTGTTGATCCCTCCACAGGAAGATGTAATGCTGAAGCACCATATGATTTTCTTTTTCTTGAAGGGGCGCCTTGTTTTGATAATGGTAAGCTTGTATTTTGTTTACCTTCAGATATTAATTCTTCTGCAAGTGTGGTGAGGAAAGAAAGAAAAGAAATATTCTCATTTTTACGTCTCTTTTGATTATACTAGAACAACTTTATCCACCACTTTGCTGATTTTCGGTCATGATCATATAGCCCAGTGGATTGATCTGCCCGATCAACCCCTTACATTTTTTTTCTGTAAAAAGATATGGCCTCTGGACATTGGACATTTTGTTGTTCACCGGTTTTGCTCTTTTGCTAATTGTTGTCAAATTGGGCTTATGACAGTTACTCATCAGCAAAACTTCCTTTGTTTCCTGCCACTTTACACAAAGTAATCCCGAAGAAGTGCATCGGAATTGAGATTCCCCTTCTTGCAGTTTGTCTCCCATAGATGGTACATTCTTGCGATTGGACATGCAAGTTCCCAAGGCTGCATAGTCTAGTGTAAGAAACAAATTCACACTTGTAAAAAAGTGATCAAAACATAACACTACGTTATTTTCTTTGACTGTAGACGCAAGGGCTGTTACGACTCGCTCATCCAGAGTTAGTGATTGATTTTTTGTCCTCTTTTCCAGAATATACATGAGCATCATACGTATAGCCCGAACTTGCATCGCAGCGAAGCCATAGTTTTATGCCCCTCTTGGTTGGTTTGAGGGGCATATATTGTTTCAAAGAAGATCGACCCTTGAATTTGGTCATAGATTCGTCAATACTTTGATACTGCCTATCCTGACTATACTTTGAAAACGTGTATTTGAATCAAGATAACAAATTTTCAATATAATGTTTATGAAGCATTTGGGGGTTTCTGAGGAGAAGCAAGTACATTTTTGAGCTCAAAGTCATGTATCGATCTCTTGAAAAAGTTTTTTGGATTGTGCTATTTCCCATTGACTCCTTTTTAATCCAGTAATTTTTCAGGCTTGGAAGGCGATTGTATCACATAATAAACATACAGCTAATTAACTTCTGTATTTCTCCTTTATCAGTCATGTTCTCATTCCTCCTTTTTAATTGGTTTAGGATTTTTAGGCGTTCATTTGTAGAATTTGCAATGTGCAAATAAAGAGAATGAGGAAATACTTTATGAACATCCTGCATAGGTGTGAACTGCGTGGTGATATCTGGAGCTAGCTTACATTCTCTTTCAGGAGGAAGGATTTGAGCAGGCTCAAATGTTTCATCAGGAATGACCGAGTCAAGACCTTGGTTTGTACCAACAGTTACCTGTGGTGAAGGCGCAAAATCGATGTCTGAGTTAGATATATCGGACGTATCACTGCCTGCTTCTTCATCGAAATTGCCACTCGAGTCAGCAGAAAATGGTTCCGACTCTGAGATTTCTTCAATATCTTCAATAAGCGCTTCCAGCTCTTTTTGTGAAAGCAGACGGCGGCGATCCATATTAAAGCTGAAACTGAATATACGTAATTAGAGACCTGTTGGTATACATAATACCGGCTGGTACATATATGTACCACATGAATATTACACGCAAGAACACAAAAATAAAACATAGTTTTGACCTACCTTTGTAAAAACACTAATTACAGTTGAATAGCAGATAGAACTTCATCAGAAAACTGCATAAATAAGCACTTTGAGTGCCCTAAATAACTAATTTTATTAGAGTAATACTGCCGCTACTACATACACGTGCTAACTAAATCGACATAACCACAAAATATCCACAATGCATGTTGTAGTTACACTGCGGAAGCCTGATACACCTGACCGGTACAGATTTATACCAAATAAAATGCTTCATTTCACAAGCAGGGATTTTTAAATTCGCCTGGTACCTACCGTTCAGGATGAAAGGGTTAAGCCACAAATCCCCGTGTTTTTAGTCGGAACTTGTCTTGCTTGACCACCACACAAAGAAAAAAGTCTAATACTAATGATGAAACCTAATTAACTGTATACAGATAGCCAAATAAAACAAGATATCTAAAAAAAAGAATCACAATATATTGCCAAAACAAGCAGCATATATGCTCCACCACTGGAATGCAAGTTAAAAGAAAATATGTTATTAAAAACTACCTGACAATAAAATAATAGACCGTAATAACCAACTCTGCAAAACGTTTACCATGGTATACGTACGAAAGCTTTACAAATATAGGTCTTTCAACGCCTAAACCTAAACTTATCTGGATAACCGTCTTCTTCCAGTTACAGCTCTAGGCGTAGCTGTGATGTTCTCAGCTCTCAAAAACTCAGGTCAAAGTTTCAGATAAATCAAACTTCTGGAAATTGGTGAAAATTATGCTCAAAGATTCCGCTATATACATAAATACCGGCCAAGCTTCTAAATAAATAAATGCGTGCTAAAAAGAATGAAGCATTGCGGTTTATCCACAACTTTCTTCTTAACCACCGTGTTAGGCTGCTACTGAAAGAGTGAGCTTAAGGCTCGCCAGTTTTTTAATCAAGTCACCTAAACGCATTTGTGCAACAACTGTCAAGTAAAATAATCGAATAATTCTATAGGCTTTTGTTATCATCGTCTATTGATGCGCGCTACCCTGAATAGTCCGAACTTAAGCCTTACGAGAGGAGTTTTCAGTTACCGGAAAATCAGAGTTCTGTAAAGTTTTGATTGTTTCAATAAGACGGAGTTGCAGATGCAGCTTTGCATTTCGAATACTTGTTCTGTGTAATACCGTTGAGCAGAATTTAGAGCAACGACTTCGAAAAACCAGTAATAGAATCTTTACTGGGTATGTTTTGAACTGTGCTCTCCAACACGTGTTGTTGTAAAAGCAATTCTTGTATCATAGTGCTCATTGGTAAATTTGACAGCTTTCAGGAAAATAAAGTAGCAGACGAGAAGATTATTTTTTGTAATTGGAGACGCATCTCCAGGCAAACATTTCCAGCCATCTCTAAACAAAAGTTTAGGTTCAGTTGCCTTGGATTGTCCTAAACAGAGTAGGAAGATGGCTACCTACTCAATAATGATGACAGATGCCATAATATGCATGACTATACATGTATTAAAGCACCTTGAATTGCACTGTGTTTTATACCTGTGCTCAGGAAGCGTAATAACCCTCATGGCTCAACCTCCATGTAATTAGGAAAGTGTAATATTCTAAGTTTACGCAGAATACCCCAGCATATAGAGCATAAAAGATAATGCCAAAATAAACATAAAATAAACTATAAATAAAATAACATAAGCAATAAGTCAATATTTTTAGTGATAAGGATGAATTTGATGCTTTAATAATAAATTATCAACATTTAGCGTGAATTTTGTAAGGGTTAATCTTAAATCTCCTCGGCTAATGATGTCCAGTCTGTTTCTTTTTTTCGTTAGGAGATTGGTAACAGCGCTGAACCCCCTTTCCACTAGGTATGACGATGGAAAGGAAATTAAAAATTTCCTTGCTATATTCCATAATACGGGATAAGTAACGGGTATGTTGTTTTGCAGCCAGAATTGCTGATATCCGTTTTTAAACTGAACCTTAAGTTCTTCGTTTGTACTTAGTTCAGTCAGTTCCTCTTGTATTATGACATTCGTTTCTTCTATGTCACCATATGGATTAATTATCCACGGTGGTATTACCATAGTCAAAATATCCTCAAACCTAGATTCTAATTCTGAATAGAGGGCATTTAAATGTTGAACGTAAGTTGAAACGTCGTCTTCCTGGCAGCCTGTCTGTGACAAATTGGGAACTGAGAAAATTCGCCCCGTCCAATATTTTGCTTCATTAGTTTAACTCTGGCAAGAAACGCTGATAAGATGGACTTTGTTTTAATCAAATTTAAAGTGTCGCCTTGTAATTGCAAATTAACCATATTAAATTTTGTAAACAAATCTGTTAAATAGGCGATGTCTGTCTTCCCCTTCATTAAATTTCCTATTAAAATTTTATCTTTAGTATCCAGAAATTCTAAGAAAGAAAGTGCAAAAAATCTTGTCAAACATAATCCTTTCGATAGCCAGCGTACTTCAGTGTGAAGGAGTAATTGATGAAAGTGTTCGTCATTTTCTTCACACAACTGCGCAAATAACCGCGTATTCAACGCGTTGCTTCGGATTCGGTTTACTGCATCAATGACTAAATGAAGTGATTCATGCAATCTAACACTCAAATTTTTAGCAACTAAATGGTGTCGATGGATGACGCAATGTATTGCTAACACCCCTGACACATTTTGTTTTAAATAGCTTATAAATCCACGATAACGTCCAACCATGGCAGGTGCTCCATCTGTAGCTACTGATATTATACATATTTGATAAAGGAATTGCTTTTTCAATGAAGTAATCCTTCAAAACATGAAATATTGATTCACCTTTAGTGTCGGTTATCAAAATTCTTGCGAAGAGCAGTTCTTCGTAGATTTCTTGATTCATAATAAAACGAACATATGCCAATAATATTGTTGCATTATCAGGTAAAGTTGACCCGTCCAGAGAGAAATGAGTCGTTTGCAAATGATTACATAAGAAGCTTTCAATATCGGAACTCATTTCATCAATACGTCTTTCAACAGTATTGTTGCTTAAGAGAATTCTTTTAATGATATCAGATGCAGGTTTGTGTAAAACAGTTTTTAAAACCTCTTCAACGAATGGCAAAATTAACTATCTCCGATAGTATGCGATTTTCCGAATTTTGCTATAAGTAACGAGATATTGTAAGACGCCCGCAAACCATCATAATTTCTTTGTGACGTCGAAGCGAACATTCTGTCCAGTGTAGGTCTCTTCTGAAATTTATCTTTGAAAGTATTTCAAATCTTTCTCTGTTTTATCAGGGTGGCATCTTCGCAGATGATCTTGCAGTTTAGATGGTTTCATAGCGTCATTGCCCAAAACTTTGTTGCATAAAAGGCACATAGGCGATTGTTTGTCCGGCAATGATGGAATGAAGCCAAATTTCAAATAATCAACACTGTACTGTCTACATTTCTTTTTAGATTCGGACATGGCATCAGTCATATTTAAATAAGACAGAAAATCCAGCAGCTGTATATTCGAACATCTTCTTGCAACAATTAGCTCGAATTACGGAGATTGCACTGTAATTATATTACCGATTGCTGAAACTTTCAAAAAGAAACTATTGAGGAGTACTCGTGTAATTTTGCATGATTGAATATTTAACTACTAATAACTAAAGTCATGATTGTCGTAATTTATCTATCTTTCCTAACTACGAGTACAAAACTAAAATTTAATAAAAAATAACGTACTTACTTTTCTGCAGCACTCTCGAACAAAATAACACTGACTCACTATAATTTGTGTAATATACTATCTGTTTATATGTTTTAAAATATTTTTTTAGCACTTTCCTTTTCAAGATTCAGGAAACGAATAAACGTATTTGTCCCACATTCGTGTTTATAGAGTGACGAATTGAATAAGTCAGTTCAAGGTAGCGAAGCTCTGAGACTGCGACTCTCAGGTTTTTACAAGTTCAAAATGTATTGCGACCACAAAGCGAATACCAACATCCTACAATTTACACAATTTTATAAACATATATAATAAATTTTTTACTTCATAGCTACTTTTATAAATAATGATATTATAAGATAGTATGATGTAAGTAAATAGGTACTATCAGTGTATGCGTTGAGATCCACTATCGTGGACCCCCATATTCATTTCATGGACCCCCAAATTTTTTTTCGCTGACGTAGACCCGTTGCAGGTTGTCATAGACCCCTAGGGGTCGATATAGATCACTTTGGGAATCAATGCACTAGACCTATCACTGGATTACCTGAAGCAATGGGAAGTCCTCTAAGCCCGGTAATAGCAATTTATACCTGGAAAGGTTCGAGGAAGCAGCACTGAACACCGCTTCCAATCGTCCCAGTTGTTGGCTACGGTATGACGATGATACCTTCGTGGTATGGAGCCACGGAAGAACAGAACTAGCACTGTTTCTAAATCACCTAAACAGCATTCACCCCAAAATCAAATTCACAATGGAGATAGAAGAGGACAATCAACTGGCCTTCCTAGACGTATTGGTGGTCAGACGAGAGAACTTAAAGCTGGGTCACAGGGTTTACCGCAAAACAACAAACACTGACAGATATCTACACAAGGAATGCAACCATCATCCTGGACAAAAAGAGGTGTCATTAAAAATATGATAGACAGGGAACATCGAATTTGTAAACTGGGAACTGGATCATGTTAACATAGTTTTACAAGCAAACGGCTATAGCAGGGAACATATAGAACAGGTTTCACGACAAAAAAGCAGACCACCGGCAGGAGATAAGGAACCACCTGCGGGAGTCTCCTTCCCACCGTACATTAAAGGCACCACGGATAGAGTAGGAAGGTTGCTGCAGAAACACAACTTCAAGACCATCTACAAGCCGACAAATAAAATCCAGCAACTCCTAGCATCAGTCAA